TGCTCCATGTAGATCTCCTCATCCAGATCGCCATACAAGTAGGTGTTCCGCACATCGAGTCCCAAGATGTACCAGCCTTCGAGAGCTGCAAGTGCCAGTGTCATGCGGACGGTTTTGAACCGCACCACTGGGGAGAAAACCTCGGAGTAGTCGATGCCTTCGCGCTGGGAGAACCCCTTAGCAACGAGGCGGGCCTTACAGCGGCCATCTGTTTTTAGGTCGAAGACCCATCGACACTTCACCGCCCTACAACCGGACGGGAGTTCGACTTCTGTGAAGACACCACGCCGAACGAGAGCTTCAATCTCATCACGACAAGCCTGCATCCAGGCTTCCGACTCCTCGGTTGGTAATGTTATTATGTCTTCATACTTCCATTCCCTCACCGAAGCAAGGTCTGGTCTGAGTTCCGTGGAGGCTGAGTAAGCCATGAGAATCATCTTGTCCACGAACTCTGTTGCTGTTTCCCTTGCGTGTGCGATGTGCGCCGCTGCATTCTGCATAAACGCTGGCGGAAGGGTTTGTTCCCCTTGAACATGCGTCATAAGTCCAGTAGGGCCATCGTTGTCGTCCGCAGGTGCGGGTGTGCGGTATCTCTGCCAGAGATTCTTCGCACGTTCCTGTTCCTGTTCGACCTCTTCCATGGTGCGGTTGGGATTGACGGTGTCAAGCGGTTGGAATCAAGAAATTGATCTGTCCTCCGCCACTTTGACGGTGGGTTCCAAGTACGACTGTCTCTAGGTTGGTCGTTCTCGTGCCCAGCAGGGTGACCCACAAGGTTTTTGCGGACGGTTCCCTCTAGGCTGCAGCCTGTGAAATGGAAGCGGCACATTAGTGCACGCATCGGGCTTCACGTACTCACCTGTTGGGTTTGCTTAGAGGCTTTGTAGCTTGGTAGAGCTGGTAGCGATGGTAGTCGTTCAGGAGAGAAAGACTTAGATTGAGAGAGCGCTACAGTACTGGCTTATATACTAGAGAGTGACTGTGACTGTAACGCATGTAACGTAGGTGAGTTAGTTATGCTATTGGTTGTCTATATTTAGTACTCGTATGAGTAAGCGTATGCTGACTGATGCACTGTGTGCATTACTAAACTACTATGAGTCATGTACGTAAGTAGAGTTCGGATCAAGTCCGTTCAACACTCCCCCTCGAATAGTGCGTGTTAGCGTGCTAGACGATAGAGGACTTGGCGTCGTCGAAGACTAAGCCATAATAGGGCCTAAACTTTTCAAGCTTGACACGGCCCAAGTTTTTCGTGAGAAGATCAGCAGGATTATCCTCCCCTTTCAGCCATTCGACCCTGATCCGTCCTTCTTCGACATACTGGCGTGTAATGTGAAAGGCAGTGTCAATGTGTTTGGTGCGCTGACTGGTAATGGGGTTGTTTGCGTTATTAACTGCGCCCTGATTATCATTGCTGATGAGAGTAGGTTCCGTCATAGCGTAACCCATCTCTAGGAACATATTGCGGATCCATTTGCCCTGTAAGGTGCAACCCGCCATGGCGATATACTCTGCCTCGACTGTGCTGCCGACGGCGGACTTCTGCTTGCGTGATGTCCAAGTGACGGCACCACTTGCCAGCTTATAGAAGTGACCGGACGTGGAGACGCGCGTGATTTTGTCATCTGCATGGCTGGCATTGGCATACGCATGTAGTCCTTCACCAGTGACACCGTCGTAGACCAGAGAATACTTGGACGTTCCCTTCAAATATCTGCAGATATAGAGGGCGTGATTCAAGTGATCTGCCGTCGGGTTCTGGCTGAACTGCGCAAGCTGATTTACAGCAAAGCAAATGTCAGGTCGCGTTCCGAGTGTCAGGTAGAGTAATGAGCCGATGATCTGACGGTAGCGCTTTGTGCGCCCTGGATCTTCGTCACCCGTGTTAGGGGTAGGGTTGTAGCCCTCTGGGAGTGGAGTAGCAACCGCATGGCAGTCTAGCATTTTGCAGCGCTCAAGCACCTTATGCAGGTAGTCTCGTTGGTCTAGTATGACCTTCGATCCTTTACGCTGAATCTTCATACGAAGAAACTCGCTGACCTCCCCCAGGTCTCGACATTCCCACTTCTTCATGAACTTGGCCTTGAGCTGCTCCACCAGCGCTCTGTCTTTACTGCAGAAAAGGCCGTTGTCTACGTAGACGACAACTATGCAACTCGTCTTGGAGTGACGGTATACATAGACTCCGGCGTCGCTTTGCAATTGCACGAAGCCCAACTCTGTCATGGAGTCCTGGAGGATTTTCCACCATTGACGTCCGGCCTGTTTAAGGCCATACAAGGCCTTGTAGAGTCGGTAGACTTGGCCAGGGGGCAATTCGTAGCCCGGCGGCGGTCGCATGTAAATTTCCTCTTCCAATTCGCCGTAGAGGTACGCGTTTCGGACATCAAGAGCTGCTACGTGCCAGTTCTCTAGTGCTGCGAGTGCTAGCATGATGCGAACGGTCTCGAATCGGACGACTGGTGCGAAAACTTGTTCGTAGTCGACTCCCTCGATTTGAGAGAAGCCTTTGGCTACTATGCGCGCCTTTTTGCGTCCATCTGACTTGACGTCATGGACCCATCTACTTTCCACCAGTTTTCGCCCTTTGGGCAAGGTGGTTATCTCGAACACGTGGCGCTTTACGAGAGCCTCCATCTCGTCTGCTCGCGCCGCGTCCCATTCAGCTCGTTGTTCGGCTGGTAGACGCTTGAAATCCTCGTATTTCCAATCACGAACGGAGTCGCTAGGAACAGCCATTGCCATCAGAGAGGCATATGACACTGATTCTCCCCCTTCTCGGCTGGATTCGGCCTCATCCATGCCCGGTAATATTAGGGGCTCATGGGCGGGCGGTAGTTCGCCCTCATACTCGTGGCGTGGTAGGGTGACAGGCCCATCGTTTGGCCGTGCATCATTGGATACAGGCTGCTCGTTAGAGGCACCGGGCTGTGATGCCGAAGGTGGCTGAGAGCTTGGCGTATTTGCCTGTCCTCGTGATGGTCGTGGCTGGCCGCTCCGCCTACTACCTCTGTTTGAGGCAGATGTTCGGCGGTCCGCGGCCACCTGTCTATCCTGGTTTCGCGCTCGTTGGGAAACTGTGTCACCAACTATGGAGTTGTTTTCCTGACGAGTGGTAGGAACCGGTACTCGGGTTAATCTCCTCAGCGTTGCCGGTGCTGGCGCGTTTGGTGCAATAGGAGCGGCTTGCACTTGTTGTGCTGGCCTTCGAGCCGGGACGCGTGAGCTGCTCGGTCTCTCTTCCGATTGATAACCGTCGTCATCATAGCTCTGCGTCTGGTAAGAAGGTTTTGGCTTAGAAGAAGAACCTTTACGTTTGGGAATGTTGGTTCCCGGAATAGTGGGAATAGGATCCCAACTACTCGTAACGTGAGGATCCATGTGATCGAGATCCTCAGCCGCTGGGATGTGTATCCGCGTGGCTTGAGGGATTGGTTGTTCCGCGCATCGAGGAAACATCAGTTCGTCGAACACGGCGTGGGCAGCGATGAAGGTGGAGTTATCGCGCCGCATGAATTTCCATCCATGCCCGCCATCCGCGTTCCCAATATACGTCATTAATTCAGAATGGGATGCCAATTTATCCTTTCGGTACGCTTCGGGCAAGAAAACGTAGGCTCCGCATCCGAAAACCCTGAACTTTGATACGTCAGGGACCTCACCCCGTGCGACTTGCCATGGTGTTTGCCATTCGATTCTGCGCATCGGAGTCCGGTTGTATACGGTGACTGCGTGCATGACGGCGAAACACCACCAGGATTTCGGTAGGCACGCTTGTTTTGACATAGCAAGTGCCTTGTCCGAAAGTGTGCAGATGAGACGTTCTGCACGACCGTTCTCCTTAGGCACATGGGGTACTGACCGCATGTTTGTGATGCCATTTTCGGATAACATATCGTAGAACGATTTGGACGTGTATTCTCCCCCTGAGTCCGACATCCAGGTTTTCGGCGTAGTGCCGTACTGGGTTTTCATTAACGCGAGCCAATCCTTAACGCATTTGATCACCGTTGATTTTTGTGCGATTAGGTAGACCCATGCGTATGAAGAGTAATCGTCCATAAGGATCAGCGCGTAGTACTGTCCATGGAACGACTTTGTCGGGTAGGATTTGACATCGGAATGAACTAGATCGAGGAATGCTCCTGCGCGATCAGAGTTTCTGGCATAGTGCCTGTCTGGCATCTTGCCTTCCGCACATCCCTTACACAACGGCGATAGAGGTTTACTCAATATCTCCGTGTCCGGTGGGTAGCCGGTGACGTGTTTCCTCATTTTGGACAATACCTCTGGCGAGGGATGTGCAAAACGAAGATGGGCAACGTTGTAATCAACGTGATAGACTGAATGAAGTTGAGCGTCGGCAATGTTTTGCACGACAACTCTGAGCCCGAAGAGTGTGTCCTCAGGGCTAGCGTTACGCCGGGTGCAGCAGAATTGTTCTGTACCATCGGCGGAGACGATTTGGACGGTCTCTGCGCTGCCTGATACAGACAGTCCGTCCTTTAACAATGACCCCAGCGATAATAATCGCTGGTTAAGCTCCGGCATCAGATAAACCGGGAAGAGGCGACTAACCACCTGAACACCTTTAGAATTGGTGTGTTTTATTATGCACGTCCCTTTGTGTGTTACGTGTGTCGTGCCGGTTGCCGTTTTAACGGGGAACTGCTGCTTCTTGGTAAGCTTCTGGATCTCGACAAAGTCATTTCGGTCGAATGTGTAATGATCCGTAGCACCAGAGTCGAGCAGCCAGTAGGCTGTTCCGGCTTCAGATTTTCCCTTACACTTAGTGCACGCAGTGGTGGATGATGCGCAAGCGCAGACGTATCCATTGTCCAATGCTACTCTACTCGATACAAGTACGCTACGTGCTATGTACGGTGTCGATGAGTGACCGTCAGTGTTTGCGTTTGTTACGATAGAGGGGATAGGGACGTACGATTTGTTCAGGTACGGGTTGCCTGCCTCGTACGCTCGCTCTAGCGAGTCCATTACTCCTCCCTCGTCGCTCCATCCGTCGTAGTCGTCTGGTTCACCGGCCAGGTATGCCTCCGATGGAGGTTCCCTTGCCTCAGGAGTTGCAGATCGCGATCCGTAACCCTCAATGAGGGGGCTGATCGAGTTCGCTCCAAGTGATACGGAGCGTTCTCGCGGTGAACTTCCAGGCGCCATCGGCGAACTGCGCCTAGGCGTTGCGGCCCGTGGCGGAGTATTGCGGCGGGATGGTACAACGTCGGGCCTTGTGGGTCCGCTTCCAGGAGCTCCTGCCAGGCGCCTCTTCGGCGAACCTCGGCGAGCTCCCTCATCCATTCCTCCTGTCTCCTCGGCGATGCCTCCAAGATTTCTCTTGGTACCCCTAGCTCCTGCGCTGTGTCCATTAGTCGGTCCATCATCGGGGAGTTGACTGGTATCCCGTCGACGATCCGGACTTGTCAAATTTCTTCTGGACTGAGTCGCAGGCCGAAGCTGAGCGTGACGTGGGCGCCCGGCATGTCGCAGTACATTCCCCTGCAGATGTTGCAGTGGAAGTTCGGCAACGGGCTGGAGGGCGGGTCCACGAGTGTCTCCGCTGATTCGCTCGGCGAGGTGGGTTCCGGCGTGGCCGGGCGTTGAGGCGGAGGTAATCTCTCGGCGCTCTCGTATCCGCTCGACTCGTCGCTGGGAGGTAGACCGAAGAACGTCTGGTTCCGAGGAGCTGAGTGGTAGCTCTGACTCGAGGCTGACGGGGCCAGTGAGGAATTCAGTGCCGTATGGTAGTCCATCGGCGACTGATCCGAACTCGAGATCGTTGACGTCGGGCTCGGCGGATGAACCGGTATCGGCGCGGGTGCTGGTACCGGTGGTAGCGGGGTGTTGTTGAGACCCCAGTCGGCGGCTGAGGGGTTTGGGGCCCAACCTAGTGCGCGTAAGCGATGGTTGTGGCTCCGTTCCTGCACAGCTGCTAACCTGGCTTGTAGTCTCTGGCGAGACACCTCGGGAGCTATTGGCTTCTGAACTGGCCGTTCGGTCGGAGTCGGACTGCCTTGCGGCGTTTCGGCAATCTCCATCGATGGTTCCTAGAATAGAGGTAACATCATCGATTAGGCTCTGTCGGTAAAGACGATAGCCAGTGGAAGGAGATACCTCTCTCAGACGCTCTTCGAGCATCTCGCGTTGAACCTCAGTCCGGACATCCTCGATGAGTGGGCGTATCGAGCCGTGAAGGCTAGCCGTTTCTCGTGCGCGGTCAAGCGCCTGATGGATGCCGAAGTTGTTCGGCGCGCCAGTTCCCTGGAACCGCTGTCCCGACTGGTTGGCCAGGAGGTGCGGATCCCGGACTGATTCCTGCATCGGCGGCGGCGGTGGCAATTCCCTGGGAGCGGGGAAATATTCTCGCTGGTCAACAGGGGCATAGCGGTCGGCGGACTGTGCGAAGTGCACGGTACCGTCTGCGGCGTGAGCGTCGCGCTTGCCGGACCGGTCATAGTTACGACCACCACGTTTCTTCTGCTTGCCTTGGCCTTTCGGCTTCGGCTGCCACTGCTGTTGCCCCGAGGGGCCCGCCTGCTGCTGCTGCTGAGACCACTGCGGCTTGCCTTTCGGCTTGCCGCCCTGCGCGGGTTGCGCTGACGCGACCGGCCCTTCTTACGGGCGTTCGCCAGTGGCGCGCTGCTTGCCCTTGGACTGAGATCCAGGGTTCTTGTGCTGGTTCGCGAGTTGCGCTTGATGACGCAAAATCGCGTTGCGGAGGTCGATGAGAGAAAGGTTCTCAACCGTCGTTACCTCGTTGTTGAAGTGCTCCCTGACCGCGCGATAGGATTCGGGGAGCGCGCACATGAGGAGCAGCGCGAGCTGCTGGTCGCAAAGGACTCCGGCTCGATAGGAGTGGACGTTGGTGGGAAGGTTGACGGTAAAACCGCTCAACGTGTTGAGGCGCTGGGCAGTGCGGTAGAAGACATCGAGGTGATGGTTGGGGTTGCCCGTGGCGGGGA